TTACCAATGTAGGGTTATTTGTTTGTTTCATTTGAATAATAAATCTATTTTATTATATTTTCTCAGGAGTGTTTTCCATTTACTTAAATAAGAAACTTAAATAACTTAAATTAACTTTGCTTTCATATTAAACTGTAAATTATGACCAACGTGTAGATTGTAGTAGATTTTGTAATGTTATAAACGATATTTGAGAAATGTAAATTTAATAAAAGCTATCTAAATTGTGAATGATCTTTGTTTGATTGAAACCTTAGAGTTTATAGTTAACCCGGGTTTGCAAGGTTAGTAAACCTGCTACATAACTTCCGGTTCCAGATAACCAGTGTAGCATGTCAGCAGGAAATAGACAATATAATACGCAATCTTATCTCGTGGAAACATGTTTCTACTGTTTGTTTGTTTATTATTTGATAAGATAAATGAAAAAAAAAAAAAAACTACTGTAGAGGTGTGCTGAAAAGATGGCATTCTGTGTAAATAACAAAAATTTAAACAATGATGTTTGAAATTATCTCGAGAGCAATTTATCATGGTAAATCTTTTTTCTTTTCTTTTTTTGTTTTTGTTGTTTTTTTTTGTGTTTTTTTTTGTGTGTGTTGTTTTTTTTATTGAATTTTGCAAAATGACAAGAAATGTCTTAAGAACCGTTTTAATTATTTTATAGAATTTCAACAACTTTAAAGTTAAAACAGCCAGGCCGCTAGGCCGCGAAAATAAATCAAAATCTTCTCTCAAAGAAATTTTTCGGCTTATATTTCTTTTAAGCCTCGGTCTCACTTACTCCCGGCAGAGCCCAGGACCATCCCGGTAAGTTACCGGGATGATCCGGGACGATCCGGGATGAAATTATTGTTGCGGTCACACTTACCTCGGCAGCACTACGGTAGTTCCCAACTAACCACCTAGGATGCGCTCCGGATCATCCAGGCAGAGCCCAGGTGAAGCTACGGTTCATGCCGGTGCTTCCCCGGTCGTTCCCGGATGACGCCGGAAGAGCCCCGGTTGACCCAGGCAGAGCCCCGGTCGATCCAGGCAGAGTCCCGGCAGAGCCCAGGACGAACCAGGCAGAGCCCCGGTAGAACCCCGGTGGATTGAAAACGCCCGAAAATGATAACATTGATACATAATTTTTATTTAATATAATATCTATTGTTCAAGAATAGTAATTCATGATGATTTTCTGAAAAATCCTTATGCCATACTGGATAGAATAGGAATGGGAAGGCTTTTCATACAAACAAGTGCAATCATCGCAAATTGTCGTTATTCTTTTGAAATGATCCGGGCTTTGCCGGGGCTCTACCGGGATCAACCGTAGCTCTACCTTTATCCTGTAGTTACCGGGGCTCTGTCAGCATATACCGGGGCGCTACCGTAGCTCTACCGTAGCTCTACCGGCTATATCATAACCCGGATCATCCCCGGTTTGTGCCGGCAGAGCTACGGTGCTGTCCCGGTATAACCCCGGTCAGTCCCGGCAGAGCTAAGGATGAAGCCGGCAAAGCTATACCTTCCCGGATCATCCCGGACCACCCCGGTGATATTAAATATTTTATTCCATCCGGGGTCGAATGCCGGATGTTCCCGGATCATCCAGGACTTTACCGGCAGAGTTACGGATGTACCCCGGTTGTTCCCGGTCGTTCCCGGATCACCCCGGACGTCTACCGGGGCTCTGCCGGGGCTCTGCCGGGATGTAAGTGAGACTGTAGCTTTAATTAACAAGAAATGTCTTAAGAACTTCATTAAGAGATGTTTCAATTGGTTTGTATTTTTATATAAAATTTCAACATCTTAAAGTAAGTTCGTACTTGGATTTATTATAATATTTTTATGTAAAATTTTCCATAAGAAACGTCACTTGTTCTTCAAAGCTTTAACAACATTTGTTTGGATGCATGTATTTTCGACAATGGGAGTGCATACATCCGAAATAATTTCATTTTTATTTACAAACAAAAGTTTTATGAAGATTGATATAAATAAAAGTAATTAAAATGATACCAACAAATCGACTGAAACTTAGCTTTCATAATCAACCCTTCAACTAGTATAGAAAAAATATAGCAATTTAGATAACTTTAGTATAGCTGCGTAAATAATTATATCATCCATTGATAAAAAAGGTGAAAAAGATTTGATATTTCCAACAAATTCATAATGACTTTTTTATGTATTCCTCATAAAAACCAGCACTACTTTTTCCTTCCGATAAGCTACGCTAGCGAAAAATAGCGATGCACCAGCTAGGATAATATGATTTTAATGAGATTTGCCTCTCTCTCTCTCTCTCCCTTTCTTTTTTTTTTTTTTTTTTTTTTTTTTTTTTTGTCCTAGCAAAAAAATATAGTATATTTCTTAGATTAAGAGAAAACATTAGCAAAACAAAAAACAATATATAGGATTACAGAGTCGCTCACAAAACCGAGCTACTAAATGATATTTAGTTAACTTATTGTTTGGCCAAATGAAAATATTTAAGTGTCTTAAACCCGTGTAAATTCAATGTATATATACAACTTGTCCGAACAGTCATTAGTTACGAAAATTACCGAAGTATGCCGACTTTGTACAAACTATTATTACCTTAATATTGTACAATAATGAAGCATTTTTCATCGTACAAAATGCATTAATATAGTATTTAGGTTAAGTGCTTAAAAAAGAACTAATGGCTTTGCACTGTTTACATGTAATATTTTGACATTTAAGACATAATGGGATGCACAAACAGCATTATTTAAACAGATAACTCGTCATATGAAA